CAGTCTTTCGACGATTTATGACGATTTTATTTAGAGTTTCACGTTGGTAGCAAACGTAAGTGTGAAAGTCTAATCTCAAGTCACTTTACTTTGCATTTCAATTAAGTCGAAAGCTGAAGCGATTCAAGAAAGTTTTGAGCGACTTGCATTCTTTCAACCGACATAGCCGACCACTTTAATTAACTTTGTGGGAAAACGTTACATTCAAGCTAAAGCTTTACCCCTCTCCCAATCCGAAGTTAAATGGTCGCAGCCTAGGCCTATTTGCAAACATATCACAGACATTGCTATCTTTGCGCACTGGGTGTTACTAAACAGAGAAACGCAGTAACGAGTAACGAGTGTCCGGGCCCGGATGTCGGAGTAACGAGAAAACGAGTAACGGTATAAAAATTCAAGAGGAAAAAAAATCCTAATGAAAGAAAAACTTAAAAATGGTTGTAACATCCTAATAATGACCTTTACCAATCTCGAAAAATATGTGTATTTCAAAAAGTGCTTAAAACAACGACGTGCTTAAAACAACTGAAATGAGTAGTACCTAGGTAGTAGCATTAGTACCAACATCGACATCTGCATCAATAACGTTGATTTCCGTATGGTTTATAGTTTGATCCCGCGGTATACGTTGTGCTTATTGAGATCATGAAGGAAAGAAACAGTAAAGTTTTTGTGACGCTTTCTTTTTTAGACAAGGAGTGGGATTACCCTAAGTTATCATTGCCCTGATAACTAATGGATTAATTAAATTTTGTAAGAAGATTAAGGAAAGTACTTCTTATGCCAAATGCAAGTCCCTCTACGTAGTCGCAGGATGGTAAAGTGCCACTTCAGCTCTTAGGTCCTAATATAAGAGATTGATCGTCAAAGCAAGTCTAGAAGAAGACACGATCATTCCTTTCCCGAAAGGAATAATTAAGTGGGAGAACACAGAAGTGGAAACGAGGGCTCTTCTACGATTTCAAAATACTATTAGTTGTTGTTATCTTTGCTCAGGCGTGTCATATAACACACCAATATTTATTTTTAAAGTTTGCCGAAGCGTGACCAGAAGTGGAAAAGTCCCTGACAGAATTCAGCGCTGACAGGGGCTAGCTATCTTTAAGACATTAAGCCTAGGCTTAACAAATTAAAATTTGGGTCACAATGAGTTCATGTAATTGCATGTGATCAGGGCGTGAAATTACAACTAATACAAGCACCAATGTCTGTATGACGATCATGCAAAATGGCACATATTTCACTAAGAAACTCTGCCGCTGGCGAACGCCAAGTAGATATGTAGAGGTCCTCTTGAATCAATTGGGTTCAAAACTTGTCAATTTGGAGGATCTCAGCTCTAAAATAGCGTCTAGTAAACCGGCCGTTTTCTCCTTGTTTGTGCTGTTTCTTCTTATTTTGTTTCCTTTTTTTCTGGGGACTCAGGACTACCACTTTGAAATATTAAGTAGCCAAGTGTATCCTACAAAAAACAGTTAATTTCATGCCCTGGCAGTAACAATGTTTCGGTTATTCTGCATTGACTGATGTTAAACGCAACTTCGAGGAAACCAATCCATTTGAATGTTTCTTTACTTTACTTTAATTGAAAATGGATCTAAAAACTATTCTCGCTCTGCAATGCTATTTTGCCGTCAATATTCAACTTTCAGAATCTTTACATCGGGAGGTTATTTTTAAACATGATTTATTATTCCATTTAAACCGGTAGACAAGTTCACCATAACTAACTTTTGGAAGGTAGTATTAAGTGGAATCCCGTATTTTCGAGAGAAGTTAAAAGACATTAGTTAGACATTGAAAGTTGAGTAGGAAAGGTAATAACCCTGGGAGTAATAAATCGAAATAAACGAGCAGACTGTTTCTAAGCCTTAATCAAGGTAATCGAGTACTTTTATTTGGTTAGTTGGAAACCGTAATACGGGCCCAACGAGGTTCTATTATTTTGATTTACCTGACAGCACTTTTTCTTCTAAGAAATGAAATAATTGTGGCAATCAGAAACAAAATCTGTACCTCACATTCCTACATGCATGGTTGCTCCTCGGTCTCCTCGTGCTAGTCAGAAAATAACCATGTGACCTACACCCATCCAAACCTCTTATTTCATTGGTCCCTGTAACCTGCACTATCTATTGTTTTCACTGATAGGGGCATTGTTACGTCACCATCCCCATTGTTTTCCAAGCCAATCACAAACCTTGTTTGGAATGGGTGCAGGTCGGCCCCCTATAACAGCCGTAGCCAGGTGACTTTTTCGGCGCGAAAATACCTTCGACTTTGCTGGAGGGAGGGGTGAGGGGTTGACGTCGTTGTTTTAAGGACGTTTTGGGATACACATATTTTTAGAGATTAGTAAAAATCATTATTAGGATATTACAACCATTTTTATGTTTTTTCTTTCATTAGGATTTATTTATTAAATTTTTATCCCGTCACTCGTTTTCGCGTTACTCCGTTACTCGTTACTCGTTACTGCGTTACCCTGTTTGTAACACTCCTTGCCCACTTAAAAGCGAAAGTAGTGTTTGTAGTAAAATCATATCGTGAAAAATGTCTATAGACATCATATTAGTCTGAATTAAGGTAGTAGGGACGTCGCGAAAATAGATCGACCGAGGTAAGCGCACGACTGCACTACTTATATCGTCTATATCGTGCACTTCTCAAGACAAGTCACGACTTCTATTTCTTGTTTTGCTTGTTTCATGCAAAAAGTCTACCGATAACAACCAAAATTATAATCGGACACTTAAACAGTAAAGCCACGGTAATCTTTAGATTCCTAAATCCTGTCATCGTTCCACAATATAATTTTACACTTCACCTTTCACTCCAAGGAAGACATGACATGTAGTTTAATATCACCTTGTTCTCCAATGACTCCAATATGTCTATTAAGTGAGACCTCTTCATCTCCTGTACATTGCTTTTCGGTAAAAATTGACAAATGAAATATGGGATTTGGGTTGAATGCTTTGCTGAAAAGATAGGTCTATGAAATTTAATTGCTAAAACACCGCGATATATTGGGCATATGGCTCTCAGCATTTCATTAATCCAGCAGAGTCACTGCAGAGTAACCTTAACCGTACCAGAAACGTAGATATCACTTTCCCATAGTTTTGCATGCACGCAATAGTTCATTACGCTCAGTTGACCTTAGGGCGTGTATGAGAAAAGAATCATAGATTTGATAGTTGGAAGTCTTTTTTACTCTAAGGAAATAATCGCCCTGTTCGAACAGAAATCTTTTGTCGTTTACTTTGTTGAATACATTTGTAGTCGAGTTTAGCGAACAACTAGTAACCTTTATCGTGGTGACTTCCGATCCAGTGCGCACTGACAGTAAAGAGATTTGGAATCACGTTAACGACAAACGAGAAACGCATAGCGCATATTGAACAACTAGTAACGTTTATCGTCGTGAGTTCCGATCCACTGCGCACAGACAGTGGAGACTGATTTAGAATCACGTTAACAACGAACGAGAAACGTCACATTCAATTTCAAAATTTCTCAAAATAGAAAATGAGTAGATAAAACTTGTGCAAATCTATTCTTATGGATCAAACTGGCTTAAAACTACTAATTTGTGGACGTCATGAACAGTAAAGATGCATTAAAAGACCCCTAAAACGACAAGTAAGCCCCAGAAAACTTGGTCACGTGATACAAATTAGCGTTTTCCGTTTGTCGCAATTGTTGCTTATTTTACGTCAGTCTTTCCTTCATCATTAAATGGGAGCAATCAAAGAAAATCAGAAAATGGTTTGTTTTAGCATTTTTCCGTAGGAATCGAAGGCCTGCGATGATGAGTTTCGCAAAAAAGCTGCCTTGAAGAGGAATCATGGGAGGAGTGAGGAACAATAACCCGGCTCTTTCCCATGGCTTTTCTCCTAATTAGAAAATGAAAGAGGCCCTCTAATTTTGTTAAAGGCGGAAAAGCCCTAGGGATGAGCAGCGTGATCAGATAGTGGCGCTTTAAAATATTGATAAAGGTTCCAAAATTCTTACAATGAAGAATTGTGGAGTATATGTCACGTGACATGTCGTGGAAGATAGGTAGGAATCCTTGGACATATCGTCAACACTCATTAGTCTGTCACTTGACAATTTTTTTTTCATATTATTTGATTTTTACTTAAAAAGTATCAATGTATTTACACGGTTATTACGCTTCCCTTTGAAGATTTGTATGCTATTCTCGCATGTTCATTCTAACCATTCGAAAGGGGTGTCGGTTTGGTCCCCTGAGCCCCCCGCGATCGAACCCATCACCTCATGCTCAACAGCCCATCGCTCTAAGCTTGCGAACGTGATTAATTTGTTAACCTGACTGTGAGGTTGGGCCCTTTTAAAAACTTTGAAGTTTTCATGTACGTAGCCTGAATTTCATCCGATTACTTCGAGTCGTTATTGCTCCCCCAGTACTTAGGGAGTAATAACGACTCGAAGTAATCGGATGAAATTCAGGCTATTCATGTACCGAACTTAATACTCATTTGGGTCGACCCCCATGACAATAGCTCGATAGACTGCGAACAGTCTCTCTCTCTCTCTCTCTCTCTGTTTTTTTTTTTTCAGATTTAGTAATTAGGGCAGTGCATGGGCGCGCGAGCGTCTCTCCCGTCTCACGTCTTTCATCAAGCACGTGGTCATTTTTGTGTCTGGCGCGTTGAGTTCGACAGACTACGAAAAAAAGAGAGATGTTCATAGCCTAAAAATTGGACGGTTGACTCAAACGCTTTCTAATCAAAATAAATTATAGTAGCTTTTGCATTTAGATTCCGCACATAAAAAAGCTCGACATTTGAAACGAGGTCGCTCCACAGTTCGACAGAGTCGAAATTCCTGCGGACCACTCGAACTTAATGATTCAAACATCGATTTAGTCTTTTCACGTACTAACTGAAGGAATTAGATTCGGGTACATGAAAAGTTCTACGTCTGAACTGGGCCTTACTTTCAACATGTCTTCTTCTTCCTTTTTTCAGACAATGGCTTCTCCTAAAGTACTTGAGTGTCTAGTTTGTTGTGAGATTTATGATGATCAAAACCTCTGCCCTCGTATGCTGAGTTGTGGTCACAGTTTTTGTACGAGCTGCCTACAGCGGTTACTCACTGTAGATAAAAAAATTCCCTGCCCCACTTGCAGAGTTGAAGTTAACGTATCTCAAGATGGAGTCGCAGGGTTGCCAAAGAATTTTGCATTATTAAGCATCTTCGATGTCAAACCTCAACAAGAAGAAGGTGAAAGTTTATTCGATTGCGAGGTTTGTGATGATAAGCATCCGGCAATCTTCTGGTGCTTCAACTGCGAAGAAGATATGTGTAAGGATGTAGCTCGCTTTCACACTCGCAGCAAAGCAAGTCGTGATCACCAACTCATCTCACTGGAATCAGCCACTGCAACTGCATTCTGTTCAAAGCATAGCGAGCCATTCCGTTTATTTGACGAGGCCTGCGGTCACGTGGTTTGTAGTGGATGCATTAAGCTTGATCACCAAGGTCACAATTGTTTATCTTTAGCTGAGGCGGCTTCAAAATGCCGTCAGGAAATGCAGGAACTTGCTACTAAAGTTAACGCTCGTTCTGAGGTGATTAAAACTGCAGAAGCTCGAGTGCAGCAAGCAAATCTTGACATGAAAAAAGCTTATGAAGAACAAGAAGCCCAAATTCGTAGCTTATTCAGGGAGGTAGGTTTTTCTTTGTTTAACGGACCCACTCCACCTAATAAAAGTCCAACGTTCTGCATCTACTTATGGATCTAGTAGAAGACTCTACAGAGCTGCCCGGGGAGAGCTGCAAAGGAACTTTTCGGTGTTTATAATGACCTTAACTTCAGACAACATGTAACCTCAGTTTGTAAAAAAAGTTAGTAATCAGTTGAGAGTAATGACTAAATTCGTCGACCCTCTCTCTTCTAATACTATGTTGAGTCTCAGCAAAAGCGTTTATACTACCCCCCAATTTTTAGTGGTCTGTCGGGGTGGCACCTCTACAGAAAGGGCGACTCTCACGACAAGCTAGACCTTCTCAGTAAGTGAATTTTGCGGCTTCTTTTTAAGGACTGTCATTTCCACTTTATATCAATTTACGTAAAGAACGGGAACAACAAACTTACGAATCCGGGTCCTGAGTATTAAAGTGTTTATAAATCAGCGTTTTTGCGCTTTCCCTTTGCCTTTGTCCGGCCACACAACAACAATTGACATCCACTAAAAAATCCACTTTCAAGGGCGTTTTGGACAACCTGTTTAAACTTTTAGTAACTTTTTGATGTGTACTAAGACCAAGACGCATCAAATTGTGTACGTTTTCAAACGAAAGCGCATTTTACATGAACGTTTTCACTGACCCTGACTGTTAAAACTTATCTTGCTCATTCTCTGTACACGGACTACCGCTAACATCCAAGAGCCATAATGGGACATTTTGGCTCTTGTAACATCTTGTTATCTCCTTGTATGAATGGTTTTCAAAAAATGATAAAATGATACAAAACAATGCAATACCACGAACGAAATCGGAATATAAAACAACATACTTCCTCATCCACCTATTTTGATACATTTGTATAGATTATTTTCTTAGACGTTATGTATGTTTCGTCTTATAGATTTATGCCGCAATCACTGCCAGAGAGAAAGTTTTGACGAATGAGTTAGATGAGCTATACAGTAGTAAGGCAGCCATCCTCTCAGAGCAGCAAGACCGACTCCACAAATTTCAAGAAAGCGTGGTGAGTACTGTCCAGAGTGTTTTGTCAAGCATCCACTCCTCTAACGATCCTGAGCTTCTCGTTGCCAGGTCAGCTTTAGAGGCGACGCTTAGAGACACAGAAAAACATTCAATACTGCTTGAGCCAGAGGTCGACTTTGTGGCGAAGCTTTTTTGTGATCGAAGGACATTGCAGAACATGTTGGACGCGGCGCTCAATAAGGAAGTTATCGTCACTGAAAACTATACCTGCGCAGAAAGCACAATTGCCGAGGGCGAAGGATTACATGAGTCACATCCAGGGTTGGAGCGTTCCTTTACTATCATTGCTCATGACGCCCAAAAGCGTCGCCGGTTTCATGGTGGCGACTTGTTTATGGTAGAGCTTATATTTGACCATTTTTTGTGTCACAATTTTGTTAGGGGACTGGATGTAGAGGACAGAGGCGATGGTATTTATTTGGTTACTTACACTGCCCCTAATACTATCAATGGGTTTTACACGTTGAACGTGTGCTTACGTGGTGTTCACATTCATGGCAGTCCTTTTAAGGTACCCTGTTTTTTGTCAGACGAAACTCTAAATGAGCTTTTAAGAGACTGCAAAAGGAGACGTAGAGCCGCTAGAACACAATTAGTTAAATGATCATTCGGGTGAGTGTGGTCTTGAATACACGGTAAATAAACAGTGACTGATATTTCGACAACTGTGTGATAGTTATTGACCGGATGTGTCAATAACATTGCAATGTCGTCTGTGTGTTAAGCCATGATGTTATTGACTTTGAAGACTGTAAATTAATGTGATTGGCGCGTTTCAGCCCGAAAATATTTTAGTAGTAAGGGTCATTTATTGTAAGTCAAACTGTCGTTGTCAGTTTTGGTTGAGTCCATCAAGTCGTTTGTAAGTTGCCAGTAACAGCTAGTAACTAGTAACTGACCTCGATTCACCAGCGTTTGTTCCAAGTTAATAAACCAGCTTTCCAAAGTTTAACTTTTTAAGTCGCTGGTTGCATGTGTTATGTAGTCGTAGGTATCCACCGTTCCACTACACGACTTCAAAGGACTAGTAAAAGTCTAACACACACCGCCACCACTGCCATAATGATGATGATGATGATGATGATAACTACATGTGTTCCACACATGTCCAATATACACAAACGGATACGATTCGTCAAACTGATGGTCCATTGGTACCAATGGTAGGATTGGTACCAATAGAAAAGGACTTCATTCCAATGGTTCTATTGGTGAATATGCATCTCATTAAGGGGACTTTGATTATTTTCTCATGTGACCTGGCTGGGTACAGGGCAATTCTGATGGTCCATTGGTACCAATGGTACGATTGGTACCAATGGAGAAGCACCCTGTTCCAATGGCTCTATTGGTGAATATCATCTCATTAAGGGGACTTAGATTATTTTCTGATGTGGTCTAGCTGGGTACAGGGCAATTCCAATGGTCCATTGGTACCAATGGTACGATTGGTACCAATGGAAAAGCACCCTGTTCCAATGGTTCTATTGGTGAATATGCATCTCATTAAGGGGACTTAGATTATTTTCCCATGTGACCTGGCTGGGTACAGGGCAATCCCGATGGTCTACTGGTACCAATGGTACGATTGGTACCAATGGAAAATGATGCCATTCCAGTGGTTCTATTGGTGCAAAACAAGTTCGCTTTTACAACAAGTCGTCGTCAATTTGTTAACATTATCTTAGCGAACATAACTCGGACGTACCACCTTCTCTTTCAGAGCAATTTCACGTGCTCACTAAAGGTTCTAACAAATTTGACTGCCTAATTAAGGAGATGCTCTTTATAAGAAAACTCAAACCATCCCTAAACGCAGGCGGACTCGATTCGCGCAAAGGTATTCACTTGAAGAACCTGTGATCCTTTGTTATTATGCTAATTTGTAGAGACTATAGAAATCGAATCTTCGTATTATTTATTCATTTTGCCTTGAGAATGCTGTCATGATACCGAAACGTCCGCTTTTAACGTTAATATTCGCTTGCTTATGTTTTAAGAAATCGTTATTGATCAATGATAATAATGATAATAATAATAATAATAATAATAAAAATAATAATGATGATGATGATGACGATGATGTAGTAACTAAATATGTCATTTTGCAACTCATGTGTCCTGTAAGGGATGCGCAATGCAATGAAGATGTATCAAGTTTATTTGCCATATACTACTTCTTTAGATGCTTACGTTGCATCCTTCACCGCACAGCGGAAACACATTCTGTCGATTGCCGGTCTTCTAACTTCTGTCAAGGAAATATCGAAAACATCCCGTATGTTCCTTCCCCATTACCTTCTCGGTCGGTCTTCCCTTTCTCTTTTCCCATCTATTATTCCCTTCAAGATGATCTTTTCCAAGTCATTACTTCTTTTCAAATGGCCAAAATACTTCAGATTTTGTTTCTTTATAAAGGGCTCTAACCATTGATCTTCCATTTTTAGTTCCTACCTAAATGACATATTTGTTCTGTGCTTCATACAACAACAACAACAACAACAACAACAACAAATTTTATTGAAAATTGGAAAATAACTAATTACATTACTTTCCCACCCGCAAATAGCTTATAAACTAATCGAGGCGGGGGGGAGCTGAAGACGTATTACAAAACAAGATTTATATATAGATGGACTAAATAACAGGGAAGACACTACTATACAGTAAATAGAATTTAAACTAACATAAAACAAGGCAAGTACATAAAGAGTACGAAGAGAGGCTAACCTAAAGTATTAGTAACGGGAGACTTCGACATAATCATCTTCTGACCGCAAGAAATTTAGTAATAATTCCTTTGTTTTTTTACGAAAGGACGAACGTTTAAGTATTTTAATCGAATAAGGAATAGAGTTCCAAATTTGGGCACTGATTCTCGTGAAAAGGCATACATTTTATCGGTTCTAGAGAACTTAACATAAAACGAGTCGCTAGAGACAGATCTTGTTCTGTAGTTATGAATCTGACTTGTTTTAACGAACTGATTGAGTATACTTACTGGTGCTGTTTGTTTGTTGATATCATACTTAGTCGTTGCGGCTCTTTGTTGGCAGTGGTTTTGAAGAGAAGAAAGTCATCATATTCCTTGCTAAGGAATTCAAGGCTGTGAGATTTTTCCTTAGCAGAAGGGGCAGCACTGCTGCTTTGTTGTTGAAATAAATCTTTTAGTCTTAAAATCTCCTCCGTTAATGTTGAAACTTTAGATTTGAGATCGTTATTTTATTTTCTTAGGTTGGCAATAGACTAAGGGCTTAATATGACACACGAAACAAGATAACCAAACAAATAGAATAAAGCAGAAGGAACATTTACTTAAACACCAGAAATTTACGAAATGTTTCGTGGAGCACTCAAACATACAACCGTCCAGCTTAGCCACATCACGTGACTCTCATACATGATATTTTTAGAATTTAGCACTTCATTTTAAAAGCGTTACTTCTTTTTCAAGTTTTTTTTTATAGGGGCGGGAAGACGCTATTTAAATCTCGGGTTTCCGATGGCGTGCTCCCCTGAAAAAGAAAATGAAATCTAGATCTTTGTAAATGCAATTTTCGACACTCTGGATGTCAATAATACGGTTGTGTTTATGACCATTTTTATTGCAATATTGTGAAAATTTGTATGTAGTTTAAATATCTTCTTCAATCAGAAGGCCTCTATAAGCCGTCTTGGTGGAGGTAGACGTTTGGTAAACGCAGAAATGAACCTACCTGAAAAGAATAACTCCATGGCAACGTCTTCAAGGATTTTTTTCGACTGGTTGTTTCCTATGCTCTATTTTGTTTTGTGAAAATTCCATTGATTGTAATTGGATTTATTTTCATAAGGTGGGGTCACACTTCTCGCTTGTACTACTGGTTAATTTATTTCACACAATCGCTTTTACTTGGGTATGCCTTGAAATTGCATTATTAGTTCCGGAAATTATAGGCTTGATTACCACCCGCTATACGGGATATGAGCCCGCGTTCCCCCCACCCCTCTAAAAATCCCTCAGTTTTGGGGAAGATCAAGACGCCGGAGGCCAGACCCGAGAGAGTGGCGGAAATTGAGCCTACAGTATATATATGCCTCAAAGATCCCTAACGTTTCGCCATAAGGGCGCTATTTGAAATGTCCAATCTAAATTTTTCTTTGATTACAAGTTAAAGCTGCTTTCCTATAGCTATAGAAAAGATTGCGAAGCGCTTTTTGCGATGCATTCCTGTTTGAATAGCAAGTTACCTTTTTCGCAAGGCAGAAAGCTGACGCCCCCAGGAGGTACGGGGGGGCACCACCCTTCAGGGATATCAAAGGGTAAGTAATTCACGAGTTGAAGTGTATGAAAGGGTAGCAAAATGGATGAAAAACGAGCTCCCCTAAAAACGCCTGCGTTGGAGGTTAAATAAAATGTCTCGAAAAGCGGTTCCTTATGGATGGCTACATCACTGTAATTTATTTCACGTAATACGAAAACGACTTTCTGTTTTATTCTTGTTAATAGGTATGTTTAAGGGGTAATTTTTTTTTCAATGGACGGTATACAGAAGAGGTATTGTTTTTGTTAGTCAAAAAGGGTGTACATTTGAACTTCTCCACAACGGCTACCGTATAGACAGAAAAAAGTTGCCGTTTTAGAGAGGTTTAAACAAGAGCCAATGCATGGACTGTCCACCAAAAATGTGACCATTGTATAGAGGTGACTTTTAGTGGAGGTTCGACCTCTAGGATGAGCCTCCCCGTAAAAACGTTTGTTGACTACTCTCCCCCCCTCCCTCCCCCACAGAGGCTGACAGCATGAACTGATAACCCCAGTAAAGGTAAAATTGGTTGTCACATGACCAACGTAGCTTTCCGATCGACAAGGCGACCTGCATTTGCCATAAGGTTTCCTGTTTCATGCCACCTGCCTCATTTAAGGTACGTACGATTTAAAGTATTTGCTAAGGACAAGCTTATTGTATTAAAAGGCAGTAGAATAGACTAATTCCAAAAGACAAACTCAAGCTTATTGACTCTCTTTTTCTGCCATCGCAAAGCTCTATGATGCAGTTCGATGGTTTGTTTCGAAATCTTATTGCTTTATCATTTAAATGTAGGCTTAATGTCAAATATTCTTTTATTCATTTTAATGCGCTATTTTAAGCAAAAATGGCATATTTCTTGCATTTTTACGCGTTGCATCTTATTGCAGCGTTGGATAGTGACATAAGAGGTCCCAGTTCGTTAAGTTATTAATAACTGCAATAGATTTTAAGTCAGAAAAGTGCTTGTAGCCGACCGACTACCATGAAAGACTGAGGCGTTTTTCCCCACTATTTTGAAACGATTTTTGTCATGTGTATCGCATAGGCAGCAAAAATATGTGAGTAAAGGCCTAATGGACATTTTAGGTCATTTTAATTTGCCTCTCATTCAAGTCGGAATGTTGAAACGATTCAGCGAAGCTTTAAGAGACTAGCATCAAGTCAACCGTAGCCTGTGCCCAGCTCTCAGAAAATAGGAACGTCGCAAAAACAGGTAAAGGTGGCA